GGGCTTTCAAGAACTCCAATGAACTAGCCAGATGGAAAGCAACCAGCTAGCGGACTGGCTATGTTTCGCTGGCTCTTTGCCGGTTTTCAAAAACAACCCATTTTACGGTGTTTCTTTTTTCTCAGTTGGTTGGCCATATTGATGACGGGGCTGTGGGCATTCTAATTTGGTTTCTTATTTTTTGTTCTTGCTCCTGCTCCTTTCTGTTTCTCCTGCAATCTGCTTCTTCTGTTTGCTTATCTTGCTTCGTCTTAGTCTGTCTGGGCATCCAATCCCACACCTGGAGTAGATCGTCTTCAGTATTCAGAATTCAAGAATCGTTTGGAAGAGTTTTTGGTGGGCGTTCACCTCCTCGCGATCACATCGTCGCCTCATGGTGCCCCCAAAAGGTAAGATGACTAGTGCTCGTGGAAGCCAGGCCAGAGCGAATGCTGTGAATGAAAGAACCACCCGAAGGGACCCCCATTTTTTCGGTTAATTCGGAGTGCGCCGCTTTGACGTGACCGAATGCTCGGGAGGCGCCACTCAAGGGGGTCGAGGTGCTTTTGAAGTGTAACATTTTATATATCATTTTTCTGTGAGAAGATCGGCTGCAGCAGTCATTTATGGGTTTGCAATGAAGCAATGAGGACACAAAGTGAACAAAAAAACAGAGACTTTACCTGCAAGTTAGGCAGCACTACCTGCCATGAAGACTTTTTTTACAACAGTGTTTGCGGGTTCGGGAGACCCGCGGTGGATTCAACCTGCAAGTCTTCGCAACCAAGATTGTTTGATTGACAGAAGTGCAGACATGAAGAACCACAATGGCTCTTAAGATTGACGTTGCTTCTCAGGGCTGACACATTGATCTCTTTTGGCTCCATCCAGAAGTTCATGGGCAGAAGGTTTGCAATGGTTGCGACGCCTTACACGCTGCAAGTACCATACACAACAGTTCAATCCGTGGACTGGGGGATCCCCCCCACTCCTTCAAGACACGTTAACCACTATTAGGTTGGAGGCCATTACTACTAGTAGCAAGGACGCTATTAGGGTGGAGACCATCGCTATTAGAAGGTTTCTGGCGTTTGTTTCGTTCCTCCTTTTCGTGGGACACGCTCTGTGACTCTGTGACGTTTGTGGCCGAAGCTGTTTGCACAGCGTACTCTTGAATGCTGATGCATGCGATGCCCACAAGAGGAGCAACGATTCAGTGTGTGAGGCAAAGTCCGTGCTGTGCTAAACAGCCTAAGGGTCTCTTCTCATCCGCTCTTTAAGAGGTCGTAAAACATTCGGCCAACTGCACAATCACGTTGGGACACAGAGCCATGTTTCTGATAAATTCTCTATCATCCATCAGCAGAGACATGCGGGATCATGCGGGATCCTGTTTGATGCACACCCTTGAAATGCCAGTCTCAAGAAGAAGCGGGGTCTCCGTCAGGTGAGCACTTTGGAACTCGATCAAGGTCTTGGAACCTGAAGAGCTCGGTGAGAATTCTGCAATTAGATCCCTGAAGCATCTGAAGCCCCAAAACAAAAGAGACTGGTGAATAACTATCCAGTGGCAGATCTTTCAGTGAATCCAAGATGGTGTCCATGCTCTTTGATGACCTGATTGTGGGTCTTTGTAGTGATTCTAACTGGCGATGTACGTCTGAGACAGGTTCACTAGGCCAATGACAATGGAAATGAGTTCACTTGAAGTCATCTTTGCACAGATACAACGCCAAGCAACTTTGAGAGTGTTTTACTATCTTCCTCTTCTCGGTGGGGGGAAGTTATGTTGCTTTGGGAAAGAGTACCCATGTGCGAAGCAGGGATTTGTGCTGAATTTTAACTATGAACGATGTGCCTTGTTTCGTGCCTACATCAGTTGACATTGGCTGCAGATTGCATGCGATCGCACGCGATCGTACGGATCCACTCCAAAACGATTGCCCAAGCTGCCTTGTGCGAAATGTGGGACTGTTGGAGTCCCTGTACATGCTTAGTTGTCACTTGAAGCAGACTCAGCACACCAGCACACTCCATCCCCCGATTCATCATCAATACAACCCTCTCATTTAGCCAGGTGCACTAAGTATAATTTAAAGCAAACACATAGCTGAGCTACTGCACATCAAGAGGATGTCACTGCGGCTTGCTTGCAATGGGCGTGTGTTTGACTTGACCCTTTTGGAACCCAAGGAACACGCCGGTGTTCCTCTGGGCATGTGTCTTGTCAGGGGCTTCAGATCTTTGAGACCTATGGTCCCAAGAGTGGTCAGCATGGGAGAGGGCCCGAAGCACCTGAGCCCGGGTCAAGATAGTGACATGCTTCAGGTAGAACTCAACACGACCAAGAGAGAACAGAATGCGGCTAGGCTTCCTACCTGATAGCGATGGCCTCCAACCCAATAGCGATGGCCTTCAACCTGAGAGAGAATAGGCTTCCTACGAAGTCGGCACAAATCCTGCCGCACCGCACCCACCCGCCTGGCTGGTCCGCTGCTCGCTGAGGAGCGCATGTGGCTGCTGAAATACCTTCGTCAGGTTCCAGGCGCCTTTGGATCGGTTGTCGGAAGAAGGACTGAGAAGACCCTGCCATTTTCCATGCTTTTAACAATAAATGATGTTTGACTTGTATTTCGCATATTTTCACTTCATTACATCAATAAATTCTCACAGAGTTAAACGTTGCGAATCCAAGCTACCATGTCTGTGCTGACTCACGAACAATCCTGGATCTTTGTTTGCTTTCCTTGGAATCCGATAATGTACAGATATCCAGATCTAATCCCTCAATATCTCAATATGCACCTTGTTTATGATGATGTTTTATGATGTATGTTCCCTCTCGGAATGCTTGGAATGACAGGCACGTACGTAGCTGTAAATCTGAGAGGTGAGCCCCTCGGCTGGAGGGACCGAGGCCGACCGGGTCGGCCTCGCAGCGACGCCAGCTTGCCAGGCCTGGAGGCCGAGGGCGAGTCAGACACTGGATGCTTGGATGGAGAGGGGCGAGTTTCGCATGGAGGATGGATGAGGATGGAGATATATCATGAAATGTCATGATATGTCCATGTTTCTTCTCATGGACTCATGGACATTCGGCCACCCTCTTTTCCAGGTCAAAGTCCTTAATCGGACTTGAAACCACGAAGGGTCCCAGTCGTCGCCAGTCACAGATGGCCAGCAGTCATTTGGATTCTTGGGAAAGAGAAGGCCTTTATGAGGCTTAATTATATCATATTACCTAATTAAGAGGTGGCTCGTTGTCACCATGGCTTAGAGCCATGCTGAAGTGCTGAATTGCCGAAGAAAAGCCAACACTGGTGTCAACACCTGGTGCCGTCCGCAAGCAGCTCTTGGAGCTTAGATTGCCCTATCTACCAAAAGACCAGGTCGGAACTGCTGGCATTGGCACAAAACCCCTTGCTGAGGCAGCGAAGCTGCCGCAGATGTCGATGTGGAAGGCATGCGTGATGTGTTGGGTTCCCTTTTTGCAAACATCAGAACAGGCAAATTTTAAGGGATGTTCCATTTTGGGTTTTTGATGGTGAAGGTTGGCTGACTGGCTTTTAGGCAGAAGCCATTCGGGGGATCAGCTAACGAGCGAGCAGCCACGTGTTTGAATGCGGAGTGGTTTTCAAAGCAATGCTTACCCCTTGTGCAGGCACCAACATGATGAGGCTTACAGCCTCATCCTAATATATATATATATATGTTGATGGCGAGGAGCCCTAAGCCTATGGGTCTTGTAAAGTCAGGGTGTCCTTTCCCAGACCCTTTGCTTCACCTTTCCGGGTTTTCCTCTTCACTGCGCCAGGTTCCGCCACCGAGAAGCCGATGCCGCCCGGAGTGGGAGACATCGTGACATCGGTGGTCTGCACTCCCCAACCTGCCTTCAACTGGAAGAAGGAAGTCACTAGAAACAACCTAATAGCGATGGCCAAGCGCATGTTTTGAACAGTTTTAACCCTTCCCAAAAGACATGTACTCGCTTTGGGTTTGGATTCCGTTCTCGAACAACCATTGTGGAACATAGGCACCTGGCCACTGGGTTTGGTGGTGATTCTTGTACCACCCGTGGTCCGCTCTATGCACTCTATGCACTCTATGCACTTCCACAGACACCTTGAAGCATCAGAGTGCGTAGAGACCAATCAATTGCCGAAGGTGCAGTGTCCTTTTAATAGAGGCTGAGTTGTATCAATTACTCATCGACCTATATTTTGTAATCGGATGCCAGGGGCTTCGGTGGGACGAACCCCAGTTTGCTCATCTACAGTATAAAGTCGAGTCTAGTCCAGTCCCACCCAGACTAACCCATGGGGACCATGGTATGGTCTCGAACATGGACGAAGAACGTGACGACGACTCCACAGTGATCAATCGGATGGACACCAACGACTCCACCGACACAGTCCGCTGTGCTTTGAGGCCTCCGGATGCGGTACTCCGCATGTTGAAGGCCGAGACCTTTCGGGGGAGCAGGGCGGGAGGTGTCGGGCGGCGAGACCACAGACCATACAGGTAGGAACAAGGATGCTAGGGGCTCCTGGCATCGCTACTAGGAACAAGAAGCTACTAGGGGCTCCTGGCCGTACTACTAGGAGCAAGGAAGCTATCAGGAACAAGGACGCTATTAGGCATCTTCGGAGACCATGGAGCTCGGGGTTGGACGGGCGGGTCAACTCTTCACCATGCCGGCCGAATCGCAGGTGAAGGTCCCGGGGTTGTGGTGCGGTCTGTTGAAAAGGTGTCCTACGTGGTTCGACAAATGTATTTAATATTACTATATTTATGTTGACTTATCATCGGTTGGTTAGGCTGGGATAAGTAGATCAATTGTTCGTTCCTCCACAACTCCAATTATTTACATCGATGGATCCTTTTTATTTTTGATATTGGCTGATCAGCCACTTTTGGAGAGCATCGAGCCAATGGCATGTTCATGCCATTTTGGCTCAAGGTGTGAGCTCTGATTTTTGAACGCGTGTGGCGTTCGCCACCTGGGCCTGGGGAGAGAAGCCATGTCGGGCAAAGGTGGTCACCGCGGCGGTCAAGGGAACCGCAGTGCTGGGAATTGGGGCTCACATGGAGCCACCTACAGCTATGGCGCTCACAATGCCGCTCACAACCCGTTCGAGGTGAAACTGCCGAGGTTCTTGAACTGGCTTGAGTACAATGAGGTGGATCAGTCAGAGAACTCGCTCATCATGGTGGACGATCGGGATGTGCGCATGGTCTCGCCGTTCCAATGTTGGCTGACACGGGAGATCATGGCCAACTCGGCAAGCTCCATCAACGTCTTGACCGAGAGAGATCAGGTCATGCCACCCAACTCGGGCTTCCACCTTTCGCTGTTCGGGAACTACACCTTGGATGGGATCAAGGCGGTGATCGTCATTGCTCTCGATACCGAGACAGGGGCTCCAAATGCAGGCTGGGACAGGCACACTGCCACAGCTCTGAGTCATCCGGCTTTTCAGCCATTTTCATGGCCGATGCTCAGGGACACCTCAGCTACACTGATGTCAAGGTGTACAACGGCAATGAGATCCTGTTTCACTGGATCTTCAGGGGATATCGGGCAGACACTGATCTGACCGTGCAGCAGCAGTTCGTCGATGAGGTCCTGCTCAGGGAGTGGTCGTGGCTGCTTTCGTCGGCTGGAGGGTGACGGTCTTTTCTTTCGAATGCGGAGGCAGGACCTAGTCCGTTGGTCCCAATGGCGCAGTCGTGGCTGGTGATCACGCCAGGTCTCGCTTTGAGCTCCGGGTGTGCAATCGATCGTCGCAAGACGCCATGGGCAACGATGCAGATCGTGTGGAGTTCAGGTTCAGAGACGCCAACACCAGGCTGGATCTGAAGTGCCAGAGGACTGCAGTGCCAGGAACCTGGCTGACGGTCTCACACATCTCCGGGCCAACCCTCATCCAGACGATCCAGAACGTTCGGCAAGCTCGTGCTCGAGTTGAAGGGCCGGAGCACACTGAACAGTTTGGTCAACTGGCAGCGGTGCATGAGCATTGGTTCAATTGGGCGGTTGCGGAGAACGCTGAAGATGTGGGGTGCCTGGTCGATTTTATTGGTGATCTCGACGAGGGGAACTTCCACATCACCGCTACGTCCAAGCTCTGGACCAGGGCGCCGGAGATCGTGAACCCCAAGGCGATCGCAGAAATGCAGCATCAAGAGGCAGGCCTAGCAGCTCCTTTTGGGCCGCCGGCGATCACCGAGGGCGCTTGGAGGCACGTGGCTGAGCGGGTCGTAGCAGCTAGTTCAGCGGATGAGCCAGTCGTCTCGACTTCAGCTCAGGCGGATTTTGAACTGGCCAGTCGCTCGTTTAATAATGCTCCTCCTATAGGTCCACGGATCACATTGAGGATGAGGACCGTGATCAGGCGCGGAACGATCGGCGATATGCTCGGTCCTCTGCGCAGGTCACTCCAGCCATTTTCGCATCCCAGATCCGGTCGAAGACTTTCAATGAGACGTCGGCCACGATCGAGGAGGTAGACAATCTGCCCCCTGGAGATCTTGAGCTCCCGACGGCGGCAAGTGGAGGGCGGCCAACAGATGCCGCAGGTCAGGGCGAAGGCAGTCGGGTCGATCCTCACCTGACGCCAGCCTCGGCCCCCTCTTCGTTCGGTCCCGGGGGCAGCTGATGGGTCGATGAAGATCGATCGATCGAGCTCGTGTTTTTGCCGGATCACCGGACAGGTTTTTGAAGAAGAAGCCAGCGGGGATGCGGTTTGGGGGGGGAAGTGATGGCGGGGCGCCACTTAGATGCGATCGCAGGTGTCTCGTTCTCCCCCTTCTTTCATGTTCTTGAATGTTCGATGATCGATTGTTCATGGTTTGTTTTTCTTTTATGATTTAGATCTAAGCTGTTTTACTCGGTATCCAAAGGATTGGTGAGCACGCTCGTGCTCGATTCTCTCCGCTCGATCCCAACCGATCCGGGTTTCGTTCGCTTTTGCGACGCGCGGCGATCGTCGTGCGCTGCAGGAATGGAGGTGGAGACCAAGATCCCTGGTCGCCGCTGCTCCAGCGTTAGTCGGATCCGACGCGGATTGGGACGGGTCGGATGTCGTCGTTCTTCTCGTTGGGTCGCTCGATCACGCGACGACGACGAAGTGGATGCTCGACCGATTCGCCGTTGGCGCTCGAGCTGATCAGCTGAGTTCCTGTGGCGGTTCGATTGATCCTAATATCCTTTTTAAGATGATTCCAGAATTTTGATCGTTTGGTATTTGATCAATGATGATGGTTTTTCGATTAGCCTGAACAGCTCAATGGATCGCTCCATGGCGGCGTTTCTTCAGCTGCCGATGTTCGACGATGAGTTCATTCGACCGCTGTGCAGGCTGGGGCTCGGGCGATCCGAGTTCTGGCTGGCGCTGGATGTCGATGAAGGAGCGGATGATCAGATCGCTCGGATGCTGGGCGCAATGGGGGGGGGATCAGGAGGATAGGGACGTGGTACTTCGACGGATCGAGTTGGCACCTCTCCTGTTCAACCTGATCCTTCAATCACGCTCGAAGATCATGGGCGAGATTGCCACCGACTTGGGGTATGGTCATGGATCGGCCGTTCGACCACTAAGTGTGGTTGAGGTGCAGGTTCGCGGTGGTCTGAAAGATCCTAGGATCCCTGTATTCAAAAAGCCGAAAGTGGAGCCGGCCACGATGGCGGTGAGTTCCCTCAAATCAGAAGAAGAGAATGACAAGTTGAGGTGGGCAGCACAATCGCTGCCAAGGCGGGATCGCATGCTCAGATCAATCGATCCTTGCCTGGGGCAGAGATCACTGCCGGCGAGCAAGCAGAGATCCGTGAGCTGGTCTTCGGTGCAGGCGCGTTTCGCACGATCCGTGTGAATGTGCTCGCATGGGAGCGAATGGAGAAGTGGGCTGGCTCCCAAGGGCTGTCGGTCTACCCCCTCACCAACTCCGTTTTCTCCAAATACTGCCTGCACCTCTCCAATTCGAAGTGCGGCCCATCAGTTCTGCCAGCGCTGTCTTATGCAGTCATGGATCTGTAAGCGGCTAGTCATGCCCGTCCCGGATACGGACGATCCGCATGTTGGAGCAATCATTCAGAAGGTTTACCTCGATCGCGGCAAAGAGCTCCGTGAGGCAGTCGAAGTTCCGCTGCCCGTGGTTGCTGCTCTCGAATACCTCGTGAATGCTCTGATACTGGAGGGCAAGAAGCCGGCGGCTCTCTTCGTGTGGTGGACGCTCATCTTGATCTATGCGTCGCTCAGGTGGGACGATGGCCGCCACGTGGCGCCGGCATCTCTTGAGCTCACTGAGGAGGCCCTGCTTGGTTTAGTTTGGCAAACAAAGGTCGAACGTAAACGGAAGGGAACTCGGTTTGCTGTTCCTCGTTGTTCGATCGCCGGAGTCGAGTGGTTGGACGAGGGGTGGCAAGTATTTCGTGAGTTCCTTTCCGATAGGGATTTCTTCATTTGGGACTTGGTCAGTGAATTTGAATTTGATACGGTCCCCATTTCGTATCCCAAAAGTATGCCATGGCTGAAATTTTTCATACAGACAGCCATAGATGTGGCAGAAGCGGATTCAGTGATCACTGAAGAACAGGCCGCGGTGGCACGTGAATCAAGCCACTCGATCACGTGGCACTCAATGCGAACCACGATGTTGTCCGCAGCGGTCAAATCTAAAGTAGACGATAAGATCATAGGATTGCAGGCTAACTGGAAGAATCCAGGTCAGCTTGTGCAGAAATACGCGCGAAAGCGTAAAGAACTATCAGTTCAGATGGTTCAAGGTCTGGCGGCAGAGATCAGAGAGCAGTGGAAACCGGATCCCCAACGGTTCGAAGTGGAAGATGACCTTGACGTTGTTGATCCCGCTCCATGTGAATACGTTGTTAAAGGATCGCTCCCACAAAAAGCTCTCGTTGCCTCAGATCTCAGATACCACATCAAACTCCTTTCAATGAGCTCGACCCATACGATTTGCGGACGGCTCTCACTGAAGGATGTGGTGTCGTTTGGGCCGGATGCCCCAGGTATGGTCTGCCACCATTGTCAGACCAAGCTGCAGAATAGTTGATTTCGGATGATCGCCTGCCACAATAGGAAATATTTGAGTGCGGGTGGTCGTTCACTAGATCGGCGATTCCTCGAGTCTTTAACGTTAACTCGTACTTAGGATCCTAGATAGTGATATTCGATCGGGAGCGATTCCTGAAATGATTTTGCATTTTATTGGTGAAGGTCGCGGACACCATGGTCGATCGTACGGGCTACCTTGATGAAGCTCGTACGCCAAAGATTGCACTCAGGCAGATCTTTGCCAGGCATGCTCTAAGTGAGGACCTGTGCCTGGCAGCGGCCAACAACGGCTTGCTGTCAGTGGAGGTCTTCGCCATGCTCGGCGACTCGGCATCAGCCGCAAAAGAGGCGATCAAAGCATTGATCCCGCAAGATGAGCTAGGAGCGACTACGGTGGCTCGTGACCTCGCCGTCATGCAGCTCGCTGCGGTGTGGTTGGCATGTCAGGCGCTGCAGACGCAGTTCGCCAGTCGCAGAGCTCGAATGGAAGAAGATCCCACAAAGGTCCCAGAGATGGCTCAGGAAGACCATGCTGAGTTTCGAGCTCGTTTTGTGAGGGCTCACCCGGATGTCATTTTGATAGACGCTCGCGAGCCCCACAAAAAGTTCGTAGAAAAGCTCAACAGAGATTTTCTGGTTAATGGTATGGTGCCTTTCTACACCATGTCAGAAGTTCGCACCAGGGCGGACACCATCATCCAGAAGTCAGGTCTGACCAAGAATGCCGAAGACTTGCTCACAGTCTCCAAGGCCGATGAGCCGGAAGCATTCACACGTTGATGAACAGGATCCACGCCTTTTCATGGCGCTCGATTACCTCAACATCTGCTCATATTCCCGAGCGGCAGGGCCCTTAGAATACCTCCAGCAGCTCGAGCAGTTCCGGGTCGAATGTCCAGGCCTGCCATTCGTGCTCATGGCTGACAATTTGATCCGCAAGAAGGCCTTCAGGCTCCAAGCCGAACAGAGAGAGAAGTACAGCTCGTATGAGATGGCTCTGAAGGAAGTCCTGCAGCACCACAAATATATGTGATGTTCCTCTTGTTTGGGGCTTTGCTTTGTATCTAGGGCTTTGGCTTTGGGCCATGCATCATGAGTATGATGTATGAGCTCCAGGGGTTGAAGAAGCTACTTTGCGCAGAGAGCAATGGAGCAACGAAGAAGTTGAAAATAGTCTTCATGTACACGCTTCATCAACCTTTGTGGGCCTTCCCTCCTTCACTGCCAAAACTGTTTTCAAGTGTGAACTTTCAGGCTTAGTTGTTAGTTTTGAAGTGCCAGTGCCCCAAGACACACACACACACTCTGCACAAAAAAACGATTCATTTTCTCCAAACTTATCGCTGCGCCAGCTCAAA